TTAAATTTGAGAAGCTGCACAAATCTTGCCTGATAGAAATAAAAACTGGATAAGCCAGCAGAAACAGTATCTATTTGTTACACACATGTACGTGTGTGCATGCAAATTGTTATATAACAAATAAAGACATGTTCATCATTTACCTGTTTTCCAGCAGGGGAACACATTACTCCTACATTTAACCAAAAGCAAATTTTATATATTTGTGGGATTTGCATGATATTCCAGGAGGGATTCTTATGGAGATAAGCAGTCATGAGATTGTCTGATATGCCAAATAAATCCTGGAGATCATTGAAATAACCAACATCAGACACGGGCATAACAGATCACATATCTAAAGTCAACTAATAGTTAGGGCTAAACAGAGAGAGAATGAAAAAGTAAACATGGCAAAAGGTTAAGAGCTGATGAACTGTGGCTTATGTTACAGTTCCCTCTTTCCTCTTCTTTGTGCCTTACATGTCCAACAGAGCACACATATGGGGCTAAACACGCTGGTGGTATATGTACTTGTATGTGGACAAAAATATCCTAAACATATTCTCTTTTGAGTTCCTAACTCTTCTTTCCTAGGTTTGTAAGGAACTTGAAAGTGGAGGGACCGAATGACTTGTCCTGGCCTTTTTTCCATAACTATGTGCTATACAAATATCCTTGAAAAGATATTTCTTGTGCTGTGTTTGCAAACTTTTCTTCCACTTGAATTCTTTGCTTAAGGGTAACATCCATTGCTTACCTCCATCCTCTCCCTTTTTATCATTTGATAAGATAGCAAAGTCTATTTCAAAGATGTGCCATGAAAGAAATTGGATATTGTACATCTCAATGTAAAACATACGTAAAAACATTAACGAGAGTTAGGGTTCAGAAATTATCTGCTGGGTACAACATTCACTATCTGGGGAATACCTGAGACCCAATCCCCACCACTGCACAATATGTTCATGTAAACAGCATGCATATGTACACCTAGAGTAAAACTGGAAAAAAAAAAAAAACTGATGACATACAGAAGTTTTGCCATAGAGTGATTTGAGTTCCTCCAGGTATATACCTGCACACGCATATTGCAGTTTTATTCACAATGGCAAAAACATCAAACCAACCATGCTGCCCATCAAAAAAGGAATGGATTTTTAAAATGTGGTACATATATACATTGGAACATTACACAGCCATGAAGGACAAAATTATAAACTTTGCAGCAACTTGGACAGACTTGGAGTGATCTATCACAGAAACAAAGAAATGAGTATCACATGTTATCACTCATAAGTGGACCTTGAACAATTATCATAATACTATAAGAAAGGGATTGGCAGTAGTGGGAAACTGCTGGGGGAAGAGGGGGCACACCTCATCAACAAGGGTACCTGCATAATGAATACTTGTATACCTAACTCTGAATTGTACCCCACATCTTTAAAATTAAAAATTAAAAAAAGAAATTATATCAAAGGCAACTGAAATATGTTTCATTTAGACAAAAATATTAATTCTTTTAGAAAATGTTTACAAACTGTTCAGTTTTTCATATAGCATATCCTTTGTTATCTACATATCATAGCCTATTAGCTAATCACATTCTCTGCAGATTGGGTAAATTATTATAACAGCTGCTTCTGATGACGGTAAAGTCAGTAATAAGCTGGAAATAATTACATAATTTGATCCCTTTTTACATTATCAGAAGAGGTCATCATAAATTACAACAATTATAAATGAAGATGATTAACTGATAAATGTTAATGATGTAAGAAATAGAAAAACTGTCCAAATAAAACACAGTTGCACTAAAATATGCAAATGATATACTACTAAGAAGTCAAAGTCTCCCACAAACTCACATCACTTAACATAAGTAAGGATTCAAAAATTAGTTTTTAATGACCATTTCCAATGTAATTAAGGAAAGTGACTATAAAAAAATCTCCAATTTTCTTTGCCTATACACTTGACTATTTATCTTTACTATATTCCTAAATATAACAAAACTAATTATTTTAAATGAGTGAAAACGTCTTCATGAAGAAGCATATGTGTGTATAAAAATGCACAAATACGGAATACATACACACAAATCCACAGAATACCACCAATTCTCATATTACACAAAATCTCCTTCTGGGAAATAATCAAGCAACATAAGAGTCTGGAATTCTATGTGTTTTAGAATAGGTAAGAGATACTTTATTCCAGAGGCCATACTGTTTACTATTATTATAAAGTTAGTTTGTTTAGTTAAAAAAAAATCTTATCACATTTCAGAATCTCATACTACCTAATACCTTCATTTAAATGAGGAATATATACTAATAGCAACCACTTAGTGATCATGTTATGTTCTAAGCATTGCACTAAGCACTTTATATATATAGTATTATTTAATTCCAACAACAACCCAGAGTTGTACGTATCATATCTACATTTTAAAACAAGGAAACTAAAATTCAGGGAGATTAAATGATTTGTCTGATGTCATATAATTAGATAGAAACTGGGACCATCAGTCTGACTCAAAAACCAATGGTGGTAACTATTCCTGCTGTAACTTTTACTTCCTTTAAAGCAACTAATGCTCATTCTTGATTCTGGGTTCAATTCTGTACTTCAATTTGGCTTCCCTCAAAGGAAGAGTAATGACCATTTTCAATGTAATTAACTGCTGATGCCAAGTCACTTAACGACTCTGGTACATACATCAGAAGTATTTACTGTGGTAAACTATGTTTCAACTGATATACTTTCCGATTTAATGGTGTCAAATCTTATACTAGCATCTGGTTTAAAAGTCAGTAAGATAAAAAGAAACCACATATAGTCAAAACAGCCCGGGGTTATCACTAGTAAAACACACTGGTGACCCACCTTTTCTCATTGTTTCCCAATATAATGTTTTTTTCCAATGATGAAAGAGATCAGTTTGTCAACTGAGTACCAGATATGGAACCTGGCCTATATTTCAGAGACAAGCACACTCACTGAGTAAAATATCAAAGCTCTTTTCCTTAAGTAAAATATGTGTATAATGTAATACCATCATATATTTAGCATCAAGTGCTCCTGCTTAGGAGAAATAAAAGTAATTTTGAAGACATATTTTTAACCCTCAACAATGTTCTCCCTAATTTTTCATTTTTAAATATATTGTGTGAAATATATGTGTGTGTGTGTGTATGTGTGTGTGTGTGTGTGTGTGTGTATGTGTGTGTGTATATATATATATATATATATATATATTTTTTTTTTTTTTTTTTGAGTCAGAGTCTCACTCCGTCTCCCAGTCTGGAGTGCAGTGGAATGCTCATGGCCACTCCAGCGTCAACCTACTGGGGTCAGGCGATCCTTCCGCCTCAGCCTTCCAAGTAGCCCGAACTAAAGGTGTGCGCTACCACACCCAGCTAATTTTTTGATTTATTGTAGAGACAAGGTCTCACCAAGTTGCCCAAGCTGGTCTCGAAACCCTAGGTTCAGGCAATTCTCTCACCTCGGTCTCCCAAAATGCTGGGATTACAGGTTTGAGCCACTGCACCCAGCTGTATGAAATATTTTAACAGAAACAGATGTTACTGTAATTTAGATTTAATTATACTTAAATAACAAATATTTTCACATATTAGTCTTACAACTGAAGCTACTAAGATGCTACAAGCATGTACACTTTTTATATTTTTTCCCCTTCAATTGTAAGTTAATGTGGTCATAGTGATCTGCCTAGAGATAAAAACTCAGAACATCCATGTTGTTCCTCATCATCTTTTACTGCCCTCTGCTCTGGTAATGCACAAAAAAACTGTCTACACTTCAATCTCCTACCATTCTTATGAACAGCTATGAAATCTAAAACCCTTGGAATATGGTATATAAATACCAAGTGCTAGAAAATATATCTTTATATATATTTTATATTGGCAAGTACAACTTTAAGTTAACAGTGGTTCTTCTCTAAATCCCCTACCAGACTCTACCAAAGAAGTTATATGGTCTACTTTCAAGTTAAAAAAAGAAAAGCTATGAGAAATACATTGGTTAATACTAAACACACTGTTGTTTCAGGCAAAGAATACAGAGAAAGAGAGTCAAAGTTACTTTGCATGTGAGGTTATTTTTGCACTCTCTCTACCCAGTTATTAAAAAAGTTGGTAATATCTTAAACACAATTCTGATTTTGCACCATGTGTAGGTGTACAAATTCACCCGAAAAAAAAAATCATCTTGGATTATATAAGCAGAGCACGCTTACCAAAATAGTCCACAATCAGAAACCTTATTCACATTCCCAAATACATTTTCTGCTGAAGCTGCCAAATCAATTATCCTTGATAGACAACAAATTCACAAATAATACTAAAACTACTTTAAATACAGTCGCTTCATATTTCACCTCATCGAAGTTAATGGTAGACTCCGACTGAAACCACGTGGTCTGAACTTCAGAAACACGCGTGTAACACAAATATGAGGTTACTCTCACACACATACATTGAGATCCACATAAAGAAAAAAATAACCATTTAAGATGCATAATCAAGAAGACAGAATCACTTAAAACACATTCTCAATATCCTGTATTGCCTCTTGAAATGAATAAAGAAAGGAGCCGTGTAAGAAAGTGAGAGGCAAATACTTCCTGTAGGTTTATAAATACTTCGAAGGGCATTTCACATCCAACACACCCCTTTTCATGACAAGGGATGCCTTCTGCTCAGCCTCCAGCTGAGAATCAAAGCATACCGGGGCGGAAAGGCCTGAAACGCCCAGAAGCAGAATCAAGTGGCTGCTTCCCGGCTGTTTTCCAAAGCAAGACTGGGAGAACTCCACCTCCGAAGCCCAAAGGAAACGCCCCAGGGCCTCCCACCCACGCGGCTCCCGCCCCGCGGCCGCCGTCGCCCACGCCCACGGCCCGGCTGCCTAGCAACACCGCAGCGCTGCCTAGCAACGCGGCCCGCCCTGGCCCGCCCCAGCCCACAGGCGAAGGCCGAGGGGATTCGTTCTACCTCTTTTTTCTTCTGTCCTCCTCCAAGCTGGATGCAGAGGAGCAGCAGCAGGAGGAGAAACGGAAAGCTCCCGGTGGGCAGGTACCGCAGCCGCCGCCCCGCCTGCCTGCGGCGTGAAGGAGCGCCCCGGCCCCCCATCGTGGCAGGGCAGTGTCTCCTCCACGCGCGGTAGCCGTGCGCGCCCAGCTCCCACCGCACCACGCCTGCCCGGCCGGCCTCCGGGAGCCCTCTGGCTGGGCCCTCGGGGGCTGCAGCGGCTTCGCGAGGGACCCGGGCAGCGGCCGAGGACGCAGAGGAGGAGACTGACGGAGCATCCGGTTCACCGGCAGAGGGACCTGGAAAGGCGCGGGATGGGGCAGGAAGTGGGCGTGGCGAGCGGGCCGGGGCGCCGTGGGCGCGGCGTGTGCTCCCGCCCGGAGCCTTCCCGAGACCCGCGCCTCGGAGGGTGGCGGTTCTCGCGCTCGCTGACCTAAACCCAAGGCTGTCCTGCTGCTGAAACCGTTGCTAGGTCCCAGGAATCCGCCAGGAATTAGTCCAACACTTCACCTGGAGCTTTGCGCTCACCTACTGCCTGCCTGCTTGGATGATGGAGAGCTTTGAGAACGTGGCTCCTGTAGCCGCCTGCAGTCTCCAGTCCCGTGGGGACGTTGTTAGGGACACAGCTGTGTCTTTTGCGGAGCACTCAGAAGCCATCTAACATATCCAGAGGACCCCCCCCCCATGCATAGAAGCCGCCCCACACTTTTACAGCTGTTCCTTACAGCCGCAACTGAGGGGCCTGAGTCACCAACCTGGACTCCACTTCGTTCATTCATTCAGCATTCATGCAGGGCCAAAGTGCAGGGCACTGTACTAGCCGTTTTGAATGCGAAAATAAACGGGACTTAAAATTTCATAGGACAGGAATGGAATTAAGAATGTATATCTGACACATGATATGGGCCTGGTACTGTTCTAGTGCTCACGTGTACCCTATTTATTCTTCTACCTCAAGATTTCACTTGTGCCATGAACACTTTTGATAATCCGATGAAACCTACAGCCCAGATTTAAAATAGTGCATATTCTAAACGCATGAAATTAAATTTATAAGGATTACTAAGGAATCAATAATAATGTCAATAGCACTGTCTAAATCAATTTACCTCCTTTCTCGTGTTGATCAGCAAACATTTATATTTTGGGAATACTGCAAAGCAGTGTAAATGTGAACCTATGGGTAAACATCCAGACTTCACAGTGTGTTTATGATTGACCAGAGGCACAGAATTGTAGGATGCTTGGCCAACTAAGTGGCATGAGGGCTGTAGATAAATTCTACAATCACTGCTGCAGTTCTAATAAATATAGTGATTTGGAAGCAGTGATGATCACGATATTTTAAGATAATCTGCAACAACTGTATTGTGATATGTAAATACTTTTTATAAGAAAAAACGCCCGGTGGCTCAGCCTGTAATCCCAGCTCTTTGGGAGGCTGAGGCCAGCCCAGGAAAATTGGAAAGACCTCGTCTATTCATTAAAAATAAATATTAGCCAGGTGTGGTAGTGTGTGCCTGTAGTTCCAGCTACTTGGAAGGCTGAGTTCATGGAAGGATTGCCAGAGCCTAGCAGGTCGATGCTGGGGTGGCCATGAATGTGCCACTGCACTCCACCTGGGCAATGGAGTGAGACTCCAACTCAAATAAATAAATAAAAGAAAAAGAAACAACGCCATACATACTGCTAGCACTACTGTGGGTTATTGCCTGTCTTTATAATTGAAGGAAACTAAATTTTTGCGAGCAGTTAATAGAAATAAGGTTGACTTTTTCAATACAAGGTTCACAGCTGCTGAAATTTTGTGGACTCCAGATTAAGAACACTTACTCCACAACAGGTAAGTTCTAGTATAACAATTTTCAGATAAAGGCCCAGAAGAAATTTGAACATTGGCAGTCTAGCTCTAGTCATGCTTATACTAGGCAGTCTTTTAAAAAGGAATTTACATATCTCTCTTTTCTGTCTCCAAGACTTTTGATTTTCCACTCTTATGTGAACAGTTTGCCCATATTAGTTATCCTGTCAATAGAAAAACTTAAATCAAATCGAACAGTTTATTTGAGCAAATAACAATTCATAAATATGGCAGTACTGTGAATCAGAAGTCCAGAATGCTCCAGCAGCCAGAGCAAGCTTCTATAAGCAAAGCATAGAAGCAAAGTACGGGAATTAACTGATAGGCTATAGCTAAATTTGCTTTATTTGGGCAAGGTGTAATAAGATATTTGCCTTAATTGGATATAGTCTGATTGGAGGTCCCTAGTTATATAATCAGTTGTCTGGTTGGCTGTTTGTGATTGGCTGAGACTCTTTTTTTTTTTTAAAGTCAGTTACAAGAATTATTCCCAAGTTCAGTTCCTGTGGACCTACATAAGAGCACCAGGTACCTAAACAACCCCATGCTAATGCCTTCTGGTTCTTTTGCTTAAATACTCCCAAAAGAATAGCTTTTTTCTTTTTCCTTGAGTCTTGTGAAAATAGCCTCAATTTCGGTCTATTGGAGACAAGAGTAAATCTTATGATCTATATCAGCTAAAGATTTACATCTAGATAAACTCAATGTAATCAAAAGTCTTCATCTTCCCCTCTTTCCCAAACCTGTCTTAATTTATTTATTGTAATTAATGATACCATAGCCTTCTAATTGCCAATTTTCATAAACCTCAGGGATGCCTTCCATTTTTCTCATTCTCTACAATCATGCTTCCACCCATATTCAGTTCTCAAGTTACCTTCTCTCCCCAGGGACTTTGTTTCCCTTTCTTATTTTATAGCTCTAGCTTTATTTTAAAAGGCATGCAGGTCAGGCTCAGTGACTCAGCCTGTAATCCCAGCACTTTGGGAGGCCAAGGTGAGTGAGTTGTCTGAGCCTGCAGATTCGAGACTGGCCCAGGGCAACCTGGCGAGACCTTGTCACTACAATAAATCAAAAATTAGCTGGGTGTGGTAGCACACGCCTATGTTTCCAGCTACTTGGAAGACTGAGGCAGAAGGATTGCTGGAGCCCAGCAGGTCGACGCTGGAGTGGCCATGAGTGAGCCACTGCACTCCAGCCTTGGTGACGGAGTAAGACTCCAGCTCAAAAAAAAAAAAAAAAAAAAAAAAAAAGACAAGCAATATCATTATTAGTTGATCCTCCTTCTCTTGCTTATAATCTTACCATCCTTCTCCATCAGCATAATCCAAGACTCCATAATCCTGCCTTCCTACATTCTATTATTGGTAAAGCAGTCAGGATAATCCTTTCAATACATAAACCAGTGTAAAGTATTTTCTCTGTCCTCACCAGAAAAAACCAAGTCTCCCACTGCTCCGGTAAGGCTAGCTATCCTGTTTCCCCTAAATTGCCATGCACACTCTGTCTCTACCCTGTCTCTACCTTTACACTTCCATTCTCTTTGTTGTAACCCTTTTCACCTAAATAGATGTTCACATCATGTACTTCATCATTTTATTCAGGTCAACGCTCAGATCTCTTAAGATATCATCTAGTGTCTTGCACCACTTTCTAAAAAATAAATTCCTTATCCTTTACACACAGATCCTTAAATTTTTATAGTTCTGGTACCATGACTGCCTGACATTATGCTATTGTTCCATTTGTTTCTAGTCACCCCCTTAGGATGTAAACTCCGTGAGACAGGGACTTCGTATACACACTATCTATAACAGTTCCTGCTTTATATTTTCTACAGCATCCATCACTAACTGACATGATGCTATTGTATTCATTTGTCTGTCTTTCCCCATTAAAATATAAATCCTAGGAAGACAGGGATTTTGTTTCCTTCGTCTTTGAATCTACACTACACAAAATAGAGCATTTACAGAATGAATGGATGGATCCAGTCATTCTCTGTTTATTCCCTAATGCACAGAACTAATCATGTCACTCTATTTACTCCAAAGATTTTCAGTCGCCCCCTACTAGGCTTAAAAGGAGATACAAACTCTTGAAAATGGCTTACAACCTACTCGGACTCCTTACCCTTGCTCTGACACATAAGCCTTCACTCTGGAGGCACAAAGATTTCCCAAGAACTTCATAGACAAAAAATGGTTTTACAAGAATGGATCTAAACTGCTATGTGTAAGTCCTAATATTGACTGACTTGAAAAATTGCCTGAGGTAAAGATTGACTCTTAACTGGTTATCCTTACCCACCTTTCTTTGCACAATTGCCATCTCTCCCTTTGCAAAAGAAAAGTGTAGCTCTCAGCCACCCTGAGTGGTAGGCAAAGGTATACAGCCTCCACAGGGGCTATAAATCGCCACAGCACCTAACAGGACAGTTCTCTTTGTGTATGTGTTGAAAAACTGAGTGATTCTAATGCCTATGCGGTAATTCCTTTTGCTAATCAGAGCCTTCCATTTTTTTTTACTTTCAAAAACTTGAAAAATGACATAATCTAGTTGTCAGTTATAGATCATTTAAAAATAGTTTTCAAGATAGACTGGTATGTAATTTTTGGCATAGTATTCAGAAGGAGTTTAAAGAATTGAATTTATTCCCAATACTTCTTGTGAACACAGCTTCTTAGCACTTAACATAAACAAAAATTTAAAATAAGAATAAACTGATGTTGAATGTCAATTCATTCTAGCAACAAGTAACACTTATCCACAGAGCACTAATTGAAATAAACTTAGCTTTATAGGTAATACTTTTTTATTTTTACTTTATTTTAAAGATGTGGGGTATAATTCAGGATTAGGTAGAAAAGTGATCATCGTATAGGTACTATAAGTAATACTTTTTCAATACAATTTTGCTTTTTATAGTCAACAATATTTTTCAGATTTGTAATATATGTCATTTTTGTCCATTGAATACGGCTTTATATAATACTATATAATAGTACTATAATGATAATCTTCACATCATGTACTTCATCATTTTATTCAGGTCAACGCTCAGTTAAATTTAATATAGTCTGGTAGTCACAAAAAGTTAATTTAAATCAAATTTCGATTTATACAACTTTCTGCTGCAGGTAAGACTGATTAGTAGAGCAAAAGATTTTCAATCATTAAAAATGAATTAAGGCAAAATTCCACTGCATTACACTGCTAGTGAAAGAGTAAATAGGTTTAACCTTAACCACCTTGAAAAACTGCTTGGCAGTATCTACTATGAACTATGAACTCTAAAACATTTTTGCCAAATGTGGTGCTAAGAAGCTTGACCAAACAAGTTTTTCTCCTTCATTAGGCTGTATCCACAAGGTGATCTCAACATTCATGCTGAGTGCAAGAAAACACAAAATGTACATTTTCCCAACCCATAATTTTAAAACTAATGAAATACAATAATTTTAAGCAGCTTTAATGGTTACACTAGATACACTCAGATGCATATATACTAACAATGATTTTTATGATATGTTATTCTTCAAAAATTTTCCAAGCACCAGAAAAAGAGGAGAGGAATAGAAACAAAAAATTAAGGAG